CCTGGGGGGGGGGGGTATCCCTTCCAACCCTCGCTTTCTGTGCTCCTATAATTAGTCGTCACTGCCAGCCCCCTTGGAGGGATGAATTGAACTGAACCAGTTTACTTCCATGAGCAGCAGCTAGTACCATTTAACTCTCAGCCAGTGGTTTCGAGTATCCGATTAATTAAGATCTTAACTGGATGCGTATAGTGAAGCTTGAAGCAGATGACTGAGCCGAGAAAAGAGCAAATGACCCTGCCTCAATGGCTGATCGAGGTAGGGCCTTGGTCAGAGTTGTGGAGGTTTTTAAGCATTGTACTGCCCTTAATTGCCAGCCTGCCCAGTGGACTCTTCAGCCCTTGGCTTCAGGCTTCCCATACAGCACATGGGAAGCATCTAAGGAAGGAAACTCTTAGGAGCCAGGCTGGTCAACTGGGAGCCATCCAAGCTAGTTGGGAGAGAAATATTGAGCAGACCAGAGAAAGGGGTGTTGGGATTAGGTTCTTGGTGGATCTGCTATGTGCAGGTGCTGAGCAGAGGCACCTCCTCTACTCCGGGACCCTAAACCTTTGCCTGAGGGCCAGGATAGCTAATATCTTGATGGGAAACCAAGACGGTTTCAACTAATGGTTCTTGCATGTGGACAGTCTCCATCTCTATTGGTGGCTTGCATTAAGCTGCCCTGTGGTAGGGACCTGCAGGCAGCAAGTGTTGGTTACGTTCTGGATGCAACTATAGAGTCCAGTCCCATGCAGGCCTTTCCTCTTCCAGTGCTGAGACCTCGCTTTGGGGCTCTAGTTTTGAGCTACTGCTCTGAACCTGCGTGTTGGCACAGGCAGCCTGGTAAATGCCAACTGGCAGAACTTGGGTTTTCTGGACTTACGGCAGCACTAAAAAGGTCAGTGGCACCTACATGCTCAACTTGGATCTTCTTAGACCTATTTGGGCACATGGTTCTTAACGGGTTGGGTTGGTGTTTGGTCACTTTACCACGTACTTCATACTCGGGGCATCTTAACTAAGGAAGTACAACTTGCGTAGAGAATAACTTGTGACTTCTTTCTCCTCTAGGAAAATATGTTGTGTTCTTCTTCTATCCTCTGGACTTCACCTTTGTTTGTCCAACTGAGATTATTGCATACAGTGATAGGTCTGACGAGTTTAAGAAACTCAACTGTGAAGTCATTGGAGCTTCTGTGGACTCTCACTTCTGCCACCTCGCATGGTAAGCATCAGAATCATTACTTCGGGTCCAATACAAGGCTCCTGTGGCTGGAAGACTTGAGCAGGTGTCGTCTTTTCTTTATCTTTCCTGTAGCTTATGCTAGTCTCTCTAGAGAGCAATATAAAGCTCTCAATTTTAATTTTGCCTCTTCTGCCATATTCAAAGCTTAGCCAAGGCTGGGCAGTGGAAATGATCCCAATGAAATGCATCTTATCAGTTCATATGCTTCTTGGGTAGTGCATCAGTATGTCAGATTACTTTTTCCCAACACACACACTGTTAGTGGTAATATTAATTACATAGACTGGGAGTGGGCAAAATGCAGCCTGGATGCAGCCCACGGGGCCCCTAGAAACTTAGAAAGTTAATATTTATCTGCCCCTGGCTGCTTGTCATGTAGCCCTCGATGGCTTGCCAAAACTCAGTAAGTGGCCCTCCACCCAAAATAATTGCCCACCCCTGACACATCAACAGCGTGCCTGTGGTTTGGATACCAAACTGGTACGTTCCCGTTCCTGATCTGTTACCTTTCCGTCTCAGGGTCAACACTCCTAAGAAACAGGGCGGACTGGGCAACATGAAAATCCCACTTGTTTCTGATACAAAACGCACCATTGCTAAAGAGTATGGCGTACTAAAAGAAGATGAAGGCATTGCTTACAGGTAAGGCTGCTGGCCGCAATACCTTTCCATGAGATGTCAAACAGCATATATTGAGTCATTTTGGTGTGTGTGGTTTTTGTTTTTTTTTTTTAATATCATTCCGCTTAGGACTTCATTTACTTGAAAGGAAATCTTTCAAATTAACACTGGTCACTTTTTAACTTGCTAAACTGTTCTTAACTTTTTGCTTGCTAAACTGTTCTGTAGTCTTAAACCAATGCTTTTAGTAAGTAGATGTGCACATGATGGAAAGATCACATGGTTCTTCTAAAAAAATATTTAGCTTCAATGGAAGTACCAATACCTTGCCTAACCCATGTTGTTACTGGGTGCCATAATGATAGTTTCCACCCTTTGACTTCAGTGGTGGGGGAATGTCTGTGGGTTTTTTGGAAGGTTTTCCTTGGGTACATATTCCTCTACTTGCAAAATTTATCATTGTTTGTACCCCCTGCCCTTGACATGTCGCTGCACGTTCACTTCTCAAGCGGTGTTGACACTTGGTGTGCAGCAACACCATTACTCGCCTTGCTTTGATTAATCAGAAGCTCCTCTGCCATTAAATTTTATGCATGCATCCCTTGGCAAAGTGCCACATAGCCCCAGGGGTATTTGTGCTCCAGTTTGAAAACCACTGCTTGACTCAAATTTAGCTTTTTTTCATTCAATACAGCATGTGGGAGTAAACCACATGAAGCTCTAGCAAGACAAGTGATATGCATGCCTCCTAGGTTTAATTTACATAGCAATTAGCTGTTCTAGTCTTCCATCTCTTTTGACTCTGTGCCAAAAACTAATGCAGTTTCTTTACAGATCTGATGCTATGTAGCTTGTGGAATCCTCTGGAAGTGCAGCAAGAGGTCTTTCAAAAGCACGTTCCTAACTGGCTTTAATGTCTCTAAACTTCTCTCCTTTCTGCAGAGGTCTGTTTATCATTGATGATAAGGGAATATTGCGTCAGATCACCATCAATGATCTCCCTGTTGGCCGCTCAGTCGATGAAACTCTCAGATTAGTTCAAGCGTTCCAGTTTACAGATAAACATGGAGAAGGTGAGAGATCCCTTGGTTTCTTTTTTTTGGTTTTTTTGTTTTTTTTTGTCTGAAGGGTACCTAAAAATAGCTTCCTTTTTTCTTTCTATAGAAGTGGAACTGTTATAGCCAACTGGAAGAAAAACCCAATAGCCAGGACTTTCTGAAAACCCCTAGTACTCTCACTAGAACTAGTCTGTGTACCAACCCCACTGCCATAGGGGAGCTGCTAGAAACTGTGCAGATGTGAAAGTGCAAGGAGTACACAAGACACCAATCTGCCTCCAGAAGTAGCCTAGTGTAGACAACGTCTCATTCGGCCAGTATTCCTCTGTTAATAGGTGACTGTAAAAGCACTCAAACAGGAATTGTCAGGACTAAAGTTGAATGGACAACCTAAATTCTGGCTGTCTAGGGTATTCTTTGATGGTCTGGGTATCAACATGGGTAGAGCAGAACCAGTAACCATTACAGAAGATTAATGCGCTGACTGCAACTTCAAAGCATTACAATCTATGTGTTCATATATAGAGTTTCTGAATTGACAGCTCATTCCCATCTTCTAAAACTAGTTCTGTGAGCTACTTCCAGATGTCTATGCTGAATACTGCTTGCTTGTCTTTCCAGTGTGTCCTGCTGGCTGGAAACCTGGGAGTGAAACCATCAAGCCTGATGTTCAGAAAAGCAAAGAGTTTTTCTCCAAGCAAAAGTAAACTTGCTGCGTGTGCGCTTCTGTGTTAATCGGAGAAAACTAGTCTGCCTTTCACGTAAGAACAAAGTCATCAAGCAATTGAACGTTTGGACTTGGGTTAAATTGCCATATCCGAGTCAAGGGAAGTCCTATCAAACAGCTGTAGATGTCGACCCATCTTCTGTACTTGAGGGGAAAACTAGTCCTATTGACCAGTAACTTTGTATAGAATCCTAATAATCTGTATTTGTACCTCATGTCCTAGTGACTGTAATATGACCAATGGAGTATAGATGTCTGGTATGGTGTTACACTTAATACAGCTAAGTTTCCTGATTTTCTGTAACTCCTATTAAACTTGTAGGTTTAAAAGAAACACTTTTTTTTTTGTGCTGTCTTCTGAAACTTTAAACTGCTGTGGGATGTGAAGTAGTTCTGAAACAGCATGTCTGTTTTAATGGCTCATGGTGAAGGTAGAAATCAGCATTTTTTTTAAAAGCATTTTAAAAAGAGGTTTTGTAAAACAGGCAGGGCAATACTTGGTTAAAGTTTTAAAAAAATGTACTTGATCACTTTATAAAGATCTGGGGGGGAACCCTTCCAAAAAAGCCTAGCCCCCACAAGTGGGAGACCTGCTAGTCTGAAGGCATTCACCAGTTTAGCTGATTGTGAATTATGCTGGGGGGGGGACTCCCTGCAGCAGGGAGTCTGATGTGGACTAGCCCCACCACTCATTTGGCTTGGGCCAAAAGACTGAGCCCCACTGATCTAGATGGTTCCCTTTATCAAGCGGGGGAGTCCCATACAAATATTGTCTTAACTTACTAGAACTGCAGACAAAACACAACAACCAAAACCCCAACTTGCAACCACCAGGTATAATGCCAAAGGCCACCCTAACTTGTCATGGGTAAAGCAGAGGGATGAAGGCTGTTGATGTCCTGCTGTTGTGGTTTTGTGCTTGAGATCCCAGGGAGAGTACCATGCTCCCTGTTGCAGAAAAGGGTAATACCCCCCCCCAACCAAACAAACCCATAGACAGCTGGGAAAGCAGCGCCTTCCACTTTGCATTGTGAATTGGGGACTACAACTACACGTCCACACATCCAAACTGAAGCACCAGACCCCCCTGCTCCCCGCATCGTACTATCTCCTCTATACACTTATCCTGGTCCCTTTTAATCTTTTGTAACCAAGCCAATTCTAGAACTTTGCTTCAACTCCTGCTGAGCTTGGTCCTCTCCCGTATCCACCTGTTCCAGGTCCAGAGCTCTTATGCTGTGTGAATGATGTGTGTGCAAGGGGCTGCTAGTCTTCCAGCTCTTAGTCTCCACAGGTGTGCTCCAGGCATTGCTACTTCTAGATCTATCCCTGCCCAGTGCTTAGGAAAGAGATTCCCGTAGCTTCCCTAGGCCATGTACTCCACTGCCTCACTATTCTAACTGGCAGAAGTTGGGGCAGGGTAGCACCTTGCAGACTAACTTTTGGGAGGCATCAGCTTTTGCAGGTGGCAGGCTGCCTTGTTAGATGCTGTGAATGAACTTCAGAGGTTTTCTGCAAGTAGTACCCGAGGGAGTAGGCTGTCACCTACAAAAGCCTTGCCTCCCCAAAGCAGTTGCCATGCTGACCTGTCTTCAGAGTACCTTTTAGAGGTTAACGCAGCTCCCCACCTCTCTCTTAACAGTGAAGATTTTTTTCCTGATGTCCAATCTAAACTTGCTTTACTGCAATTTCAAGCTATTGTTATGTGTTCTACTCGGCAGCAGTGTGTCTTTTGTTTTTGTTTTTTGTGCCCCCCCCCCCCTCCGATGGCAGCCCTTCACATAGTTGAAAAATGCTAGTATCCCCTTTTAATCACCTTTTCAGCAACCCATGTGCTTATGTCTTCTAACCTCTTCTTATCTGGCTTGCCCTCCAAGCACCTGCTCGTTTTTTTTTGTGTCACCTGCCTTTGAGCGCTCTCCAACTTCTGCACATCCTCATTAAAATGCAGAGTCAGGACTTGCATGGACTACTCTAACTGGGGCCTAACCAGCCCTGAATGAAGCAGCACTGTTGCCTCCCACATCTTGCATGCAATGCAGTATGAAACAACATTTCCTTTTTTTGCAGCTGCATCACTTTGCAGACTTGCATTGAGTCTTGTGGTTTTTGGTGGATAACAGACATCTCTGCACTGCTGCCATTCAGCCAGTTGTCACCTATTTTGCATTTGTGTTTTTCAAAATGTGTAGCCTTTTCAGAGTCAGGGCACCCTTTCACAAATTTGAGTGTAGCAGTATCCCTGGCTGAGAATCACTGTTGTGCTCATCTTATCTGACTGGCAGGCAACCAGGTGCCATTGCCACCAGCAAAACCTGTTCCATGTGCCTACTGCACAGCCAGCTCCAGCACTGGGGCTCTGTGATAAGCCTACAGCAGGTAGGAGCAGTAGCTTGTGCTGCAGCCCTTCCTGGTCTGATCCTGTGAAACATCTCCTGGAAACAAAGATGCTGTGTGTTTCTGGAAGCAGACACACGGGATGTGGGGAATTGTCCCATGCACTTGTTTCCAGGAGGGGAATGGAAGGGGCTGGACTGAAAGAGCTGCAACCCATGTCGGTGCTCCTGCCTGTTTTAGGGTTATTGCAGAGTCCTAACATTAAAGGAGCACATGCATGCTGCAGCTAAGTGCATGAGAGTTTTATTTGGTCACTGGTGGTGGTGTGGCACCTGTTGGATGGGGAGTCTTGTGGCACCCCAGTGCGCTGTGGGATCCTGGCTAAGAACCACTGGTGTAGCACCTTGCATTTACCAACTGCAGACAAGGGAGCTCAGACAGGACTATCCACCACTACCCAACACAGATTCATTGGTCCTAAACTCCTAGGACAAGGTTTCAGACTGGATATAAGGAAAAACTTTGTCACAGATCATGTGAGTAGACTCTGGGATAGATGCCTAGCGGGGGTGATGTAGGCAGGAGATCTTCCAAAGGAGACTGGATGCACACTTTGCGGGGTTTCTAGGGTCGGAAGGGACCTGAGTAGATCATCTAGTCCGACCCCCTGCCATGGCAGGGAAGAGTACTGGGGTCAAACAACCCCAGCAAGGTGTTCATCTAACCTCCTCTTAAAGACCCCCAGGGTAGGAGCCTGCACCACTTCTCTTGGAAGTTGGTTCCAGATCCTAGCCGCCCTGACCGTGAAGTCGCCTCCTGATGTCTAGTCTGAATCTTCCGTCTG